GATCACCAACAAGATCCTTCATATGTCGGACAAATACTTCCTTCGCAATTTCATTTTTCTAACAAAAGCAGTGGCATTGTAGATTCAGAACAGAATGTGATAGCTTAGTCTATTCCATACAGGTAAATAGAATGTTTTTTGACCAATTACTACACATCAGAGACCTACCTTCAATTTAGCATATAAAGTATGAAGCTGCATCGCTCTGTCTTTATCAAGCTGAGGCATTATGGCTGGAAGCAAAGCTGCAAAAGGTACTTGTTTAATATTGCGATTCATAGGGTTAATAGGTGGCTCCATGTTAGTGGCCTGTTGATTACTGATCTTCTGCAATTTCAAGTATTGAGATTTACTATCTTGACTATGCACTCGTTCCGGTTCACGTACAGTGACAGGATTTTTTTCAGGACACTTGTGCTGGTTGTTTGAGTTATCTGAGGAGAAATTTGAACTGTTTGCCCCTGCTGATAATTATCTTGGGATTGATTCTGCGGTAAAGGGATGCACTTCCGTTCTTGTGAATCATTCTGTTGCTGTTGATTCTCATAAAGAGATCTTCTTTTCAGTTCTTCTAGTTCAGATACATGCTGCTCCTGCAGTTGCATACTCCCTACACTCTGTTGCCTTTGGGAGTTGATATTGTCATCTTGGCTACCAGTCCATTGCACAACTGACTGACTAGGAATATGATTGCTTCCTTCAGATAAAACTGATATAAGCTTTTAGTTAATGAAAATAATAAATTTGAAGAGTTTTTCTGTGTGAGCCACATAAGATAATAGATGTAATAAACATGTCGTACAACGAATGATATTCCATAGAAATTTTTCAAATGCTAACTAGCACTCACTTCCTCCATTTTGACTTTAGATAAAACGTCAGCCAGAATATCAATTTTTTATATTTCAGTCTAAAAGCAAAACGCAGTTACAACCATGGGAATTGGTCTCTAATCTCAATCTAAAACCACTGCATTTAAACTCGTTAAAAAAAAAAAAAAAGCAGCATAGTATATAAAGAAAGAAAATTAATCGGATTGAATGGCAGTTAACCTTTATTGAAGTTTACACCAGCATTCATATCAGATGGCTCAGAAGTGGATACAGCACATTCTATATCTCGATTAAGGGCAGCCTGGAATGCCTCCACATCCGCGCCTGAATGCAGAGATTCATCCTACAAACATTTCAGGAACAAAAGAAATGTAAATAGTTTTTAGAACGTTAGTTATAGCAACATGGAAATGCGGAGAAATGATCAAAGAACAGTTAAAAACAAGACCTCATCTTCTTCAAGAAGCTTCACAATGGAAGGGTCCATAATGAGGGCTTAATATGCACTAGCGTCTATGGCGACAGAAGGTGACAGGTGGCAGGTGGTAGGTGGAAGGTGACTGGGGAGGTTCTCTTCGTCTGCAGGAAGAACATGAGGATCTAAACAAGTTACAAAAGTAAGCACCCAATATAAACAGAACAATATTTTGTATTATAAACTGCTAAGCTTTGTTGAATTATTGTTAAATTCACTTCCCAAGTTCACCAAGAAGGATGGTGTTGCTTAAGTTGGAGAAAAAGAAGAATAGGTACACCAAAAAAATATGACTTGAGCCAACCTTTATGCAGACTTGAAAAACTGTTAATTAAAACCCTGAAAGAAAGCGAGTTTTAGACCTCAGAATAACAAGCAACATTCTAAAAGATAACTGCTTTCCTTAGGTTTCTTTCCAGTCATGACTTGAAAATGGAACTCAAGTTCTCCTCCAAGTCAGATGGTTGCAAAAGCCCTAAATCGTTTCTTATGTATTGCCATGAACATCTGATATAAATTATACAGTTATCAGAACAAACATGACTACCCTTAGAATCAGATAAATAATGTAGTGTCCACTGCTCCTTAGAAAATGCCAGAGAGAGAGCATCAAATTTTGGACTTCTGAACAATTCAATAAAATCATCCGAGAAAAAACAAAAAAAAAATGACATTTAGCAGCTACCAGTTCCCCTTAAGAGTTAATACAGGTTCCACTTTGCCTTCGGTTTCAATCAAAACAAGACCAACACTTTCATCTCCTTTCTGTTGCTTTTTCAAGTTCAGCTCATAAATTGGCTAACTGCAGGATTACTGCGACTGGCTGTTGCTACTACCAAAGTTATGTGGAAGTGCTGATGCTTAATGTTGTAGGAACTGCTAAAAGTCAATGCAGCATTTATTAAAGTGTTTTGCAAAAAGACATTATGAATGGCGATGTTGTCAATTATTTGAGATGACAATTAGTCTAGGATTGCATTCAAATTGATTAGTTTCAGGTTAGTTATCAGGTCATTCGAATTGCAGATCAATCCCATTTCAATATTTCGTGTCATACAAATATTGGGTAATTTTCTGAACATCTGAGTTTCTGATTCTTAGTTGTTTAAGTTTTTGGGTTTTTCAGATTTTAGATCCTTTCCGGTTCCAGTTTTTTAGGATTGTATCAGATCTAACTTGATTATGTAAGTCCAAATTTTGGCTTTGATGTTTAATGATAGTTATATTTTGGTTTTTCAGGTTTTTTAAGTTCGGCTTACTTTGGGTTTGAGTTATCTGGATTTTGCTTAACTTTTTCTTTTTTGGTTAACTTTAAGTTTCTGCTTGTTCCAGTGGCCGTCAAAATTGTTGAGGCAATCTCCAGAACGTCATAGCAAACTGCAAAACTAGAAAAAAAAAATACCTATTAAAGGGTGATTTTGACTTTGAAGGACTCGAGGTTGATTAATCGGACTTGATCTTTCCTCTGCCTTTCCTAAGGGACAGTTTGCTTTATTTGCTTCTTACTGGGTTTAGCTCATTGATCCTATAGGATGTCTCTTCAGCTATTTTGCTGAGGAACTGGGATGCAGAATTGGTTTAGTTTTATGTGGTTCTTTCCTTTTTTTCTTCTTTTTGTTTGTTGACTTAGGAGGATTTCTTATTCTGTACTGTTACACTTTTCTCCTCATCTAATAATATTTCTTTTTTCATTAAAATAATCAAATTAACTTGATTGGATCTGCACACAGAAAATGAAAACAGCTTCGATGAGGGTGTCTGAATTTTTCACGGAGACTGCACTCTGATATTAAGTCAGTATATTCGTCGAAAAATACATATCTGGCTACTTAAGAATTCAGCATGTCTGGCTGTCCCTATATATAGAAGATCAAGGGGCCTGCTTACTTTGTTATTGCATAACGAGGACACATGCCTTTTCTGGAACCCACTGTCCATGTGTCATTATTTAGGTGAGCATGTTTCTGGGTATGAAGACTTGCCCAAGACCTTATTTGGGTTTAGGTTATATAGGGTTTGAGGTTGCTGACTTTATTTGGTCAATTCAAGCTGGAAAGTTTTGAGTTTCATGTGGGTCGGGTTGGCTTAGGTTTTGCCACCTCTAGTTGCAATTTTTCCTTCTCTTTTGAGAAAAAGTTGTAACGTTTAGCAACCCTATCCCCAAAAGTTTCTGCGAAATTTAAAATTATCTAAATATATGTAATATAACAATTAAAATTGTTAATGGTGCCAATTTTTAGAGAAAGAAAAGACTTGTGTGTAAAGTGGGATAGCAAGATATTGGTAACTTATGTTTGGTTTGTTTGCAGAAAATAGTATCCTGACAAAAATTTCCAATGGAAAACATTTTTCTAAAGGAGTAAAACCTTTCTTAGACTGAATGCTTTCCATTGTAAAGCATTGCAAAAGTCTGTCAATTGGCACAAACTTGTCAAACTTTTGGAAAGATTATATGAAACTATCTCTAAACAAATAAAAAAGATCAAACTTGACATTCTAATTAAGTTTTACTTGAATAACACATTAACTCTGAAAAACTTAAGAGAAAACCAAAAGAAAAAGAATAAACTCTCAGCAAAACATGAATGCATCTTCATTTTCCTGCTTTACCCCAGGAGAGAGCCAGGGTTCCAAGGTTATTGGTTTCCTTCCAGCTTTACCGCCACCACAAAGAAGCTAGTAAGATAATTAGTTGAAATTATAATGATTATAAATTATATGACAACCCAATCAAGAATGTATTATATGATTAACAATGTACATAGTCAATTATATCTATAAAATGATAAAATTAAGGAGAAACCAAGAAAATATAGAACAATGGAATAAGAGAGTTTTGGGCTTCAGAAGAAAAAAGATACCAAAAAATTCGTAATTTGTGCAAGAAAAGTGAAATAAAAGAAAAAAATAAAGCTGAAAAGAAAACATATTGGATAAATAGGAGAAAGAGAGGTGGCAGTGATGGAATCTTGGCATTTGTAATGCCAACAGAAACAATTTCCTTTTTTCCTAAAAGAGAATCTTCTTTCGAAATGGAAAAATTTTCCCATTAACATTTCTTTTTTCCCCAACCAAACATATGGAACGCAAACATACTGAATCCTAAACGAAAGGTAAATGGTACATATCAGCAGAAGTATAATAGGTAAGTAAGTTGTCACCAATAAAATCATTCTTAATCTAACAGTTCTCTTCAAACAAGAGTGCTATTATAATGGTTGTTCCTCTAAACTTCTTCCTTAAGAGTTATTTGGTAGATTTTCTTAAGAACTGCTAGTGACAGACATTAGACTGTTGCCATCACGTCTTTCATGAGACATAACCTCAAACTTCTTGACAACGATATCAGATTACTCCAGAATTGTTGTGCAGAACATATTTAGGTTTCTCCATGCTTTATGATAAACAGTGTGATCTTTGTCACAGAAGCTAAAATAAACAAGGTGACTCCGGGTATTCCATTAAGCACCCCCCATACTCAATTGTCCGTTCCCAGCCAAGCACACATAGTCTATTGTTAATAGAAAATCGAAATTCTCAACACCTCACAAAACTTATCACTTCTACAATATGCAAGAGACAAAAATGAAAAATCGGACAAGAAAATATGAGGAGAACAATTACCAAAAGTTCGAATGTCATTATTCAAAAAAACTTGGAATCAATCTAAGGTTAACCAATTCTGTAACAGTGATTGAGAATTCAATTGAAAAAAAAACGCCGACACATAATATGCAAGAAACCAGAAATTGAAAAGGCAAACAAAACAAGAATATAACAGAGAGAAGCACGAGATAAGAGAAGGAAATAGAGGAGAGAGATGAAAAAGAGACCGCGAAACTTCACCTGCTGGTGTTTGGAGACAGAAATTGCCGGGTGACGGACTTGCAGGAACCGCTTCTCTTTAAAGGGCGACTTTGGGAGTGAGAGCTACGACTCCAAACCCCCCGAGCCTCCAACAACTCCAACCGGGTTTTAGAGAGTTTTTATAGCAGGGGTAAATCCGGTAGACAAGGCAAAAATCAGGACAAAACCGTAAAATAGAGATTAAAAAAAGTGCTGATACGGTCTTCATCATAATTGGATAACTAGTACTAGGTTTTCTAATGTATGGGTTTTAATTTTTTTTTTTTTTTTTGGTATAAGGATAGTTAAAAGTCAAAAAAATAAATTAAAAAATTTGTTAGAGATTATTCGACACCTGAATATGAAAGTAGAGATCCATCGGTTAAAAGAATATGGTTTTTACCAACCAATCAGCATATCTATTTTTTTTATGATAGACATATTGAATTCTAACATGTCAGACATATAATAATAAATATTTAATCTTACGAACGAATGCGGCATGTACATTAGTGTCGTAATCCTCCTTAATAAGTAATTGCACCGCCAAAATATTATTCATTTTCAGAATAATACTACAAAATTTAATATGTCAAACGAGTTGAAGTCCACTGAAAGCACCTCAAAGCTTGGTCTAAAGCACATAACATCTATTAATCTTCTTGTTGAAGCTTCTCAAACAAGCACCATCCTCATCCTTAATAAGTCTGCTACAGCAAGTAAGGTTGATAGTCGCACGATAAATATTATCAGTGTTCGTGTGAATTTTAACTTTAAATTATGAGATTTTTATCATATTTGTGATAGAACAAGTGATAAAAATATCAAACTATTTATTTATTTATAATTACAAAAGTAACTAAAATTCTTAATGCACAAATGAAAAATATCACTTATTAAGTAAAATAAAAATTAATAACAAATATATTTCTTCTTCAATATTTAGTTAATAATAGAATCGAAAATTTTTATCACAAATGATCAAAGGAAGATTGAGAAATTGTTTAGTAGGACTAGATTGTTAATGCCTCTAATATCGATAAAGAAAGTAACATATCTAACTGATCAACTGATCGATTGGTTTACCAAGCTTACAAATTTTTCACTTGTTTAATTAGACTTTATCAACTTCTAATGATTTGAAACAGTTTTTCTATTCTAATTATTGTAGTATTGCTTGATTATGTTTAATTGGACACTAAACCCTTTTTACTTGAACTTTCTAAAAATAAAAGATAAATACTTTGTTCCACTCCTTGATGAGTTCACAATAATCCTTCAAGGGGGTAAACTCATTTTGTAAATAAATATGAATTTATAGATTAAATTTACAGTTTAATTATTATATTAAGATGAGAGTAGACAAATGTTTTTTTATAAATCTTATAATCATCATCAGCTTCGGCTTTTGATCATAACGAAAGAAATAACTAAACATACTGAGGACATATTCTCATACAAAAACCAGATCAAGAATGTTTTGAAACTAGCCAACGAAGTCCAAACAAGAATTTAAAGTGATACCTCAAGTAGTTATTTTGAGTGTGTTATTTATTTCAGTGATGATCTGAGCATGTCGAGACTAATCAGTACAGAAAGAAAATGATTAGGAAAACTCGCATCCTCTCCATTTTTTCTTCTTCTTCTGTTCTCTCTTTCCCTTCTATCCTTCTCTGCTGTATATTTTCAGTTCTTACTTCAAAGTTCTGAAACAACAGAATTTCTGGAGATAGCACATGATATGATATAACATGATCTTCCAAGAACAAACTCGAAAATGGAAATGAAAAATTCCTGGCAAGTACAAACTCTCAACAAATCCTCTTACATACATTTCAAGCATTTCAATTAAACATTCTTCAGGACATATTGATGAATTGCATGAAACATATTTCAAGATCAAATAGAATGAAAAGGCACAAGGGATACGAAGCTGTAGATATTTGACGAGATCATAATTACACAGCACAGAATTGCTGGAAGTAATTTAAAACATCAAGAATAAGAACCCAGAGATTAGTGTATGCTTCCATTCCCATGACAGTGAGCTGACCAAACTAATGCTGTTATTGAAATATTGTGTAAAATTTTTCAGAAAACAAAAATAAAAATTTTATAAGCATAAAACTTAAGATGCATGTAGAAACTGCTATCATTGTCAAGATTCCTCCTTGCTCAGGTTTCTAAATGCTCTTTCTGGATAGAGTTTCTGTTCTCGAGCTTTCTTAGCTGCAAGGGCTTCCTCATCTAGCACTTGTATCGGGGACCAGTTTGGCAACTTAAACCAGTCACCATCTTGGAAGTTCCTTAATACAGGTTTTAGCCTCAGAATTGCAAAATCTACGGCTGTACCCACAACAGCAAACATGACTGAGTACCGGTAGGCACCAAGTCGACCTCCTAAAAATGCCAAAGAAGAAGACAATTCAACTACAAGTCAGATGGGAAACTCAGCAAATGAAAATGAGGAGCAGATTGTGTAACAGTTGAGTATAAGATCTTTTTTATTATAACCACCTATTAGCAAATACCTAAATGGAGTTTTTGCATATCAACAGGGCAAAAAAATCTTAACACTAAAAATGGTCTTCAGATCAACAGGTTCTAATAGAAAATCGTGTAAGAGATAGATTTATGAAACTTAACCTTGAAGACGGCCTAGTATAGCACCAGTACCAAAGCCCCCAATTGCAGAATTTAGTAGATCATCATGCTCTGACTTTCGAGTTACTCGTACAAATTCCCGAGCCCCTGTCAAATATAAAAAATCATTACAACCCTAAACATATTAGTTGCTAGAAATATGGAGGATTAAACCAATTACAGAATCAATTATCAGTAGCATCTATCATGGTTAGTTTCTATGCCTAGCATTCTCCTTAAAAGAACCAGGCAAATGATGGAAAAGAGGCTCTGGATCGATGCTTGATTCTTGAATTTGAATAGCATTACAAACAGGCTAGTACATTTGTTATCTCATTTTGTTTCTTTAACCAAAAAAAAAAGTACCAGTGAAAGTGGATAATTCAACAAAAGTAAAGAAGTCAGGTTAACTATTCAATCAAATGATATTGAAAACGATTGCATCCCCTCAACTTTGTTAAGTCCCTAAATGAAATGGAGGATTCCTTCAAACAACAATGAGCTGGACACCATTTAAACACCAAGCATTTTTCCTATCTCCTTCCGGAACAAGTGGGCTATAAAACTGGAAGGTCATAATGATATATTACTTTATGTTGGTAAAGAAGCTCATGAAGGTTGAACAAACCACAACTAGTGGAAGACAGATCTTGTCTTTCAAGATAGGAAGAAGGATGTCTGTGATTGCTGAAATAAATGTCAAGTACTTTAGGTAGAGTGATGAGAAGTAAATAGTTATGCAGCAATCAAAGCCTTTTTCATAAAATTATTTTTTATAAGAAACAAATATATAAAGATAACAAAGTAACTGAATGGAATAAAAAAAATAAACTTTCTGAATCAACATTCAAAAATTTAGAGAAGGAATAAGAAAAAGACGCTCATCTTTTTTCTAGTTTAAATTCGTTTATTGAGATTCTACTTTTTATGTTACAAAACAGATTAATTTTTTTTTTTTGAAATAATACAAAACAGATTGAATTAAAACAAAATAGCCAACACTGCTTATAAAGCAGTAAACATCCAAACACACTCTAGATACTCAACAAGGAGTTGGAAAAGCTTTTGTCAAAGCAATCAAAAGAAACATATAGCATATAGCAATAACCTGTTCAACCCTTCGCAAAATAGATTATTAGTGCAATCCAACCTCAGTAGAACATGTCAAAAAGGAAACATAAATCAATCAATAAAGAAGACAATAAATAGATTATCCGAGATAATTACAAACAGCACATGATCTACGAGCTACTATTGAACAAAAGAATGAAGAAATTACCGCAATAGCAACCAGTAACAATGGTGAAATTAGCAGCGTAAGTAGCAGAGATATTAGCAAGACCATGAGCTTTCCGGTACTTAGATATTAATCCAACGCCTCCACCAGCAATCCCTGTCCAACAAAACCAGCATCCGAACTCTTCGTCAACATCCAGAAAAGAATTCTTTATACCCCATATTTGGTCAAACATTGTATGAACAATCAAGTGGTAATATAATTATTTAGCTATATTGAGTATCTTCTCTATGAAAAAACCAAGACACAACCTAGAGCCCCAATATGTAATTTACTCATTTTGTTTCAGTTTCCAAACAAGTAGATAAAGCGGAAGATTATAACAAAAAATCAAATACAGGAGAGAGAGAGAGAGAGAGAGAGAGAGAGAGAGGAAGATGAATACCTGCAAGTAGAGTAGGGGTCAGAATACGCTCCTGCCAGTTCTCAGAGAACGACGGTGCTGGTCGTGGTTGCGGCGGTTGCGGAGATGGAGATGATGTGCCTTCTCCGTCTAGGGTTTTCCGATCGCTTGATCCCATTTTGGTTCTCGCTGATTCCACGCGGCCAAGATCGAGGCAGAATTTGAATCAAGATCAGCACGGTGACGAACAGAATGCCGGGTATACAGTTGTCGTGAAACACCGAGAGGCGAGAGGTTAGAGCTCCTTCGAGTGCTGTCACAAGATGACGTCAGTATGCTCCGAAAGATATAAAGTTGTTGTTATAATTAGATTTTAAACATTTTTGTCACAATTTAATTCTTAAAACTTATAAAGTTATTTTGATTTATGATGTTTTTAAACAATTATAAAAATCTGGATAAAATTTGAAATTTTTTTTGTTTTATCTATATTTTAATTTTAATAAAATTTAAAAATTATAACATGAAAAATTTAATCTTAATAAATAATTAACTTATTTTATTTAACAACATATCTGATAATAATATGAGTTAAAAAGTATATATATAATTATTATGATTTATTTTTTAATTCATAATGAAAATATTGTTATTCAAAGAATAGAAAAAATTATTATTTCTATAAAGAATTTTAGTAAAAAAATTATATTTAGGAAAATTATAAATTTGAAGATAAAATTAGAATTAAAAAAACTTGACTAAGTTAGAACATAATTATTTACCCTATAAAATTTTAAGCATTCTCCGAATAAATTTTAAATTAACATAAAAATTGATTTGCAAATAATATTTCTTTCTATAATAATATTTTTTTTGGTAACCTGATTTATTTGTAATTTAAAAAAGTTAAACTTATATAGAATTAAAACAGAAAATATCAAATTCTATAGATTTTTATGACAATGGGCATCAATTATTTTAAATTTACGTGAAATTTTATAATACTTTAAATATTTATTATTTTTTACATAATTTACACATTTTCTCAATTAAATCAATTTTATGAGTATATTACGAAATTAGCCTTACAAGAGAAAACAAGGCTTTGCCTCTTTTGGTTCTGGCCTCGTAAACAGAATGTCATGGCCGACAATATGGCAAAATGGGCTGCAGAAACTCATTTTTTAAGGGCCTCTTAGACTACGCTGATACTTTTTCACAACACGTTGGCAATTACATACTTTTCTAAAAATAATAATTTATTTCTATAAATTAAAATATTTTTAAAACTATTTATTAATTGAATATAACCTTTTGTTACTGTTACTTCTCTTTCAATTTTTTTTTTTTAATAAATAAACCAAACATAATTACTTTTCTTTTTTTTTTTTAATATTATGATCAAATGACTCATGGTTCATACATATTTGATATTTATTTTATATGTTAATTTATTATACCGAGATAAAGTAAATCAAAATGCAATTACAAACAAAGATCAAGATTTTGTTGTAATTTATTTAAAAAATATATTTAAAATAATTTGTAAATATAAATATAAATATATTTTTTTTATTTCTATATTCTTTTCAAAAAATTTATTATCAAAGCAGATAAATTAGTAAATGTTAATGTCCAAAAAATGAAGTATGTACAAATTATTCACTAGTGAATGGTCAATACTTTTCACTATTTTTTCTCAAAATGTAAACTCAGAGCCACATACTATGCACCTCTTGGTGCATACAACTGAGAAAAAAATATATATAAGATAGCAATCATCTGCAGAGAGAAATTATTAGATGAACCCAACACATAAACCAGAATAGTAAAGGTTAACTTTGAAAGGCCTCCAAAGAAGCTCGAAGTTGATGAGTCCAATAATTAGGTTCTTCCTTTATTGAGTTCAAACTAAAAAAGATATCGTTACTAAAAAGACTAAAGTTCTACCATGATTGCCCTAATAGGGGCCCGTGTAAATCGAAAATCGAAGGACTGTGTAGAAAAAAATTTGCAGGTCTAGTGGCAACAATTTAACTATTACTACCATCATTATTCAGCTTTGATAGGAAATAATAGGTCATTTAAGAGGTTGAGGATTCCGGTTCCATCTCTTCCGAAGCCGATGAGCCATCTACGCTGTTCTTACTGTCCCATTCGCCATTCTGCAATGGGTGCTCAGTCCTCTGCTGTGCTCCTGAACCAACCCTTCTCTTGTATTCTGCAATCAATGTCAAGAGCAAATTATGAAGGTTACTAAGAGTTTCTAATGCATCAAGTCTCTAATAGTTCAGTCTTTAAACCATTCAAAAAGATTAAAGGAAAATATACAAATAATCAATTTATAGATTCTTAGTCTAAAATCCTCTAAAGGCATTTGCCTGGAGGCATGCTTGAACTTTTTGCTTATTAGTCTGAATTTAACATATTCTCAGGCAACACATTGAATGGAAATCCAGAGAGAAAGTTACTTTTGTTGGTGATTGCACGGCGAGTCATTGTCAAGAATTCATCCCAATTAAATTTCCTCAGTTCTTGCTTCTCCTCCTCGGAGAGCTCAAAATTTGGCTCTCTCCCGCACATGAAAGCAGCCCTGTGAAGATACCAAATGCATCAGAGTTTAAATATATATAATCAACCGACCAAGATCTCAATTTGTACAAAGGTTATGATAACAAATTTTGTTGGATTTACCATCAGAATTATTTCAAGTCTCCTTTCCTACAAGTTTACGCTTATATTTCATGGAAGTGCCGCGTAGACCACTACTTCCATGCTTATAAAAGTGGACAACACAACAGAAGTGAACCCTCTGATTTTAGGAAATCCAAGAGCATTATGGAACAGCAGCAAGAAGTAAATTTTGTTTTTCTTTTCCATAAAACAGCTAAGGATCAAAAATCATTACTTTCATAAATTTATATACATATAATAAAATAAAGTTTATATACATATATATATATGTTAAGCTCAAGTTAAGCTCATGCACATATTTAATACGCGAATCTTATCACAAAATTAAACTTCACGTAAGTGGGTAATTTTCCAGCTTGGCTTCCCTCTTAACCTTACTCATTACTGCCATTTAATATTGTACATAATATTATAAAGGCCTTTATCTTTAAAATCAAACCTAAAAATTAGTAACAGCCAACTCTGAGTAGACAAGTTTTTTGGTCTTGATTGCAACCCAAAAGGGAAAAAGATGGTTATTAGCAAAAACAGTAATACTCATAAAAACAGTACAACATGAGCTAGGTCACCGTTAAGTTGTATTGGCATCCAGCAACAGCGAAAACTTCTAAATCCTATTTTATTAACATCAAGCACCAAAAGCCTATGAAATTATGTTCTATACAACAACTAGCCAACCCTAGTATCATTTGTAATACCAGCCTTTATTTGGATATTTCATAAGAGTATCAATGCTTTCACACAAAGTCAATGAAAGCATGGAAATTCTATAGAATACTCATTACTTAAATTCAGTTAGATTTTTGCAAGCTGCAACTAACAATTGCCATCATAAACAGGGTGAAGTTCAAACTACTACCTGTCATATAGGCGTGCAGCCTCTTCCTGGGAACCAACGGTACCCAAGTGAATTTGTTTTTTGTCAACCTTTATTGCCGCCTGCCATTTCATGTTCTTGAAATAGACACCTCTCATTAAACATGGTTCCTGATTCTGGACCTGCTTCCTTCTATGACGCTTTCTGCGTTTGATTGGTGGCCCTACAAGTGGATCAATCATACTGTAAGATTAGTCAAGATACCCTAAAAAATAATTATATAAGTTTTCCATTTCCTATCAACAAAATGCCTGCAATAGCATGACAAAGGTTCTAAAATAAGATAAGACTGTTTCCTTTTCCCTTTTTCTTATCAATAACCCATATCTCTTTTTATGTAAATTCCAGTAGTAGGTCCATATGAGATAATCTTTCCACCATATAAAAATAGAAATTAAAAAAAAAAAAAGAAAACAGTCAATACACAAAATCCTGCAATGGAAATTAATTTGAGCCTCTGGTTAATAAGAAGTTGATGTTTAACAAGTTACAGACCTGCAAAATTTTCATTTTCCTGATCTTTTGGTAGGCTGGAACCAGAAAATTTTGATGATCCAGTCCTACCTTGGCAACAGTTGTCTGCAGACCATCATAAAATAGTAAACAACATGGAATAATGGATAGTATATGTAGAAACAAATGTTAGTTACTCGATGTCTGCTCCTAATGTGAATACTTAAGAACTTTATATTATCTGTTGATCAGACTCCCAGTAAATCAATTTTTGGAAATCAGGAAATTATAATTATGCATATTGAATGCCATAAATATTCAACCAAACAATATAATATTGCTTAATATTTAGCCTTGACTATAATTTTTAAATTGATCTCTGGCTTTTACAAACCCAACCAAATCGCTCATTAGTCCAACCAAACTGCTCAAAACAAATCACCACTATTTGGTGGAAACCTCTGTTTCAAAAACCAAAAGACTTAAATCAAGTGTTGAATTAAGCTCGTAACTGGTTGCTCTTTGCAGCCTGCATGGTCTCTGATCTCTGCTGCACAACATGGAGGCCTCCTCATCAAATTTTTTAGCTTTTCTTAGTTATCTTCTGCTCTCTTGCACCAGAATCTTGGATGTGTTATAGTATGAAACACCCAGAAATAGTAACTATAAAATATATGTAGACCTTTCTAAGAATTCCATCTTACCTTATCTTTCTCGTAAATATGGCAATATTATATAAAGGGATTAACGCTAGTGCTTTATAGAGAGAGCCCTAGTTTTATGACAAGTTACATGTGACTTAATTTTGTAATATTCTTAGTTCCTAATCAGTCTTGTCTCTGATCATCATCAACTAAAGCCAAAAATGGGTAGGTTAGAGGAGAAAATGAGAGGCTAAAGAATTTTTTGGGAAAGTGGTTACCAATCAAGAAATGCATTTCTAAGGACTGGTAGTTATTAAGCTTGGTAACCACAAAAGGAAGTGAAGAAAAAACAGAGATTCAAATATCAGCAAATGGAACAGGAACACGAAATCTAAGGAAATAGAGGTCTAGACTTTATTAGGTTTTCATATTCAATAGAAACAGATCAAAAGAATTCAAGTGAAGAAAACAGCTTTGGAGACTTGAAGGAAGAGAAGTCAATTGAAAAATGGCCACTAAGCAAAATCAAATAGGCTAAGAGAAGCAGAGATGACAAACATTTGCTGCAGACCTGCCTGAAGAAAGCTAGAGTTTCAATCAGAGTAAGATTGATATCCCTACGTAGAACACATGTTTATCCAGATATATTTCCTCTACGCATAATTGGCACTCAACTTATATTAAGCATGTAGGACCACGATAAAGAACAAGCGGGTAAGATCCGTGAGTCTCTTGGATAACTCTGTAGCCATGTAATTTTTTCTTTGGTGACATGGTACTTAAGTGGTGACTTCTGCCAACTTTAACAAAATAATTAACAGAAGGACTATAGTGATCAGAACAAAAAAGTTAAAAGTCAAAGATCATTTTGAAAATCAATATAAAAATGAAAGACTAAATATGGAATTAATACAACAGAACAGACAAATTAACTACAGATAGTTGATCTGCCAAGTCCAAAGACAGTGCCATACCTTTTGGAGTTAGCAACCAATTCTCTATGCCTTCATTCCAGCCAATCAAGAATCCAAACAATTTTTTTACACTCAAAAAAGAAAAAGAAAAAGCCAAACAGAACTTTTTCAGCAAGAGTGGATGCCCCAGTCTACAATTGACAGGACAATCCATCTACGATAACTTAACAGAAGCATGGCACCTAGAATTTTGTATCCTTGCTGAATGAATAACTTCACCACCTTTGGTTTAAAGGTCGAGATAGATACAATTGCCCAAGTACAGTTATAGAAGCTCGTAAATAATTTCTAAAAGAGTGTTTGGCTCACTTTATAATGTATTAGCTTATAAACTCTTCAATTATGCATAAGCTAATAAAGCTTTCTCATAAATAAGTTGTTAAAATTTTAGATAATCGAGCTTATATATTAATTTATTTACATGACTAGCAAAAATAGTTTGCAAGCCATTAGTTCTATCGAAGGACATGAGGAATGTGATAGATTGTCCAGGGACAGTAAAACTGCTAATCATCATTTTAATCTCGTATTCGGTTAATATCAGCATTATTAACAGATTTTAGAAGATCTCTAAAATAAAAGCAAACACCAACAACTTTATAAATATGGTGTTGCAAGAGCTTATAAGCTATCCAAGTTATAAACTCTCTATTATTTATAAATATGTAATAAAATTTAAAATGCTTATAACTCATGTTGACCAAAAATTAAGTTCAGTCAAATACCCTCTAGATTTTTCTTGTTATTTAAAAATGAATGAAATTTCACCAATAAAATATCCTGTAGATACACAGACACATTACATTTTTATGTGCTTCCAAACATCTAGGCTTACATGGAAACCAATTAAACGAGTATAAAAGGATAAATGTAGCATAAATGTCAGAAGGTCCTCTTGTGGGCAAGGCAATGAAATTCCTCATCATAATATCCATCCTACATCTTCAGCCATTAGTTAAATTGAGGAGGATAGGGGTGTTTGGAATCTGGAAAAAATGGTAGATTTTCAGTTGAGTCCTATTACGGTCATTTAACTAGAACAGATCATGTATGGCTTATAAATTTCCCCATGAGGCAGATATGGAAAGCTAAAGTGCTACCAAGAGTTGTGTTTTTGCATGGGAAGCTTGCTAGGAGTGTATATTGACTATCGATAAATTACAAGCAAGAGGGCTCTTCATTCCCAACGGATGCTATATGTGTATGAAAGCAGAAGAATCGTGCGACCAGTCCTCTGGCTTTTGAGCTTTGGAATATTATATATGACCTTCTTGGTATCAACTGGGTATGTCAGGGACTGTTAGGGTGGAATTATGGGCTTCGGATGGTGTACAGTTAGATAGTAAATTGATTAAATTGATTCCACTGACCATTTTTTGGGTTCTTTGAAAATAGAGAAATTGTAAAACTTTTGAGGGTAAAGAAGTTGAATTGCATAGAATGAGAGATAGATAGATGCATTATTTTAGGTCTATTTTGCTAAAATATGACATTATTAGTGATGAGAATTTTAAAAATATCATTGACACACTAACTACTTTATAAAGCTTTTGTAATTGGTGGTACCCCTGTTTTTTGGTACCTTGTTAATATATATTCTTTACACTTTTTATTTCAAAAAAAAAATCATCCTACATCTTATGTATAGCATACACGTACTAGATATCATAATTGGAAAATAACAAGTAGGCATATAGCAGTATATAAATCTTAGATGGCATCCATTTTAGTGTGTTAAACTCCTATTTATTAACAAAGTGAGAGACATGACATAAGTATACTAAGGAAGATGTGCACTTCAATTTAAAGAAACAACCATGAATGGAAACTGCTCCTTTAGATCCCATATCATAGACAATAGAATAAAAACTATTTAGATAACCTCAGAGCAGACTTCCTAGATTTGTTAAATATAGAAGAAATGGGGATCAATTCTTACCTCCTCCTTCAGGTTGACATCCTCTAATGGCATGGGATGCACACTAACTGGATTGGCATTCTGGCTTGAATTTTCAAGAGCCAAGCCATTGTCAGAAGACTTGGGAAGTGGAGTTACGAAAGAATCTTTCCCTACAAAAGCCAAGTAAAAGAAAAGATAATGTAATTCAAGCAAAAAAAAAACGAAATGAACCCACTAAAATACATTCTAAATATTTTGACTTCAACAAATAATCCTAACAGGAGAAAGATTTGCACAAGATAAGAACATAACATAGTCATGCTACTGAATATAAGCAGAAAACACCTAATTAGAGCTAATTAGGCTGAGCAACAACTCAAATGTAGAAAAGAAAAACTTCACTAATGTTTACCGGAGCAAAGTCCCAAGAGCCTGCGCCTCCTTAAGCTCACCATAGTGAATTACGATCTTCCTATCACTGCATAATAGTCTTTTTAGTGGGCCTTAAGATCTAACACAGCACTCTCGGATCACAAAATATACAACAATTTTACAAGCAAGATGGAACTTCATATGGAACCAACTTGTAAGTCAAAATCACAAAAATAGTAATTGAAATTATCAAAATGACACTTCAAGTTATTGGAGAAACCATGTTACAAGTACAAAATCTAGAAGAACAAAGAGAAATCAAGTAAATACAGGAAAATACAGCAAAATATAAAATACCAGGCAGTGGATACTGCTTTTATTACTACACAGCAAAATAGAAAGAATAGGGAAAAATCAACAAAGGCAACAATTTAACTCTTCCAGCTAATCTGAATGAAGGCACAAACAAGCTTTGGAAGCCCTTTTAAGTTCAATGCAAGTATAAGCCTTAAAAGACCTCTGTTCAGATCATAAATTTTACAATGCATAAGCAACCATCCAATTAAATATCAAAAAGGCCAATGCTAGTGCAGATACTAGTTCAAATAGAGTTTTAATCATCAAAACTCCAAACAATATTGCAGCTTCTACGGTCCAGAAAACAACTATGTACAGACAGTTAGCAGAAAGACCAGCACTGGTTATCATCTTAACTACTTACCCAGTGAAATTCGGAGTCGATACTAAGAAGCCACATTCATAATCATGGCTGTCCCTCAACCCAAGCTAAGAAGCGAATATCTCAATCCTCACTCCACACCAGAAAAGCAATGACCAGCAAGTCAACTAATTAAAAATTGACCTCAAAATTAGGGTATAATTACTTCGGATTCAAAAAACACTTTACCAAACTAAGTCAAACGACACTGCATTGGATATTCAGCCATATGAGCCAGTCATGGACGGGATCGAGTGGAAATAAACTAAGTAGAAGATAACCCAAAGCTTTGCACCATATATTTTCACCATCCCATTTGTTTTCTTAAGCCATTGACTCAGTTTGAAATTTCAATCAATTATGGACACGGGAACCCCGGTAGATAAAAAGCTGCTTACTATCACGGTTTAATCTTTAAAAAAACAAAGAAAAAAGATAAATCCTTCATGATTAGCGTAAAGCAAGCACAAAAAGTCATGATTAGAGAGTAAAAAAGGTTGCCAAAGCACATTTTCGAAAAGAATTCCTTGTTTCTGTCCACAGAAGATAAGTCAACCCCACCATCTTACCACCTTTCATGGAGTCACAAACAGTAAACAAAAGGAACCAAGCCCAACCACCAAACAAACTGCAAATACCCCCTTTACCCAAAACCATAGCAATCAAGACAAACCCACATGAACAACAAGAAAAACAACAATCGTTTGAAGCAAAACAAGCACAAAACACTAAACCATTATACAAGAAAGCGAAAAAAAAACAGAGAAAAAGCCATGGCCAGCTTCTACCTTCCAAGGAAAATAGGAGAGAGCAAAGAAATCGAGTCTAAAATCTGGAGAAGAAAGGCAAAGGGATTAGGATTGTGCGGATGGGTAGGTGGTGAATATATGATGTTGTGGCTCAGCAATCTACCACCTTTTGTTTTTATTTCGGTCTTCTCGTTTTTGTTTTTGTTTCGGTCGTCCCGTTTTTATGAGGGTGGCGGTAGTTGCTAATGGTGTAGAGATAGAGAGAGACAGAAAGAGGAAAAAAAAAACTCCATACGCGTGGTAATCGGTCTAATATCTTATTGGACCGGATTAGTGTGGATTAACGAACCGGTATCGTGTTCGGTCCAGCTCTCTCTCGAGCTGAATAAACACGCCGGTCGGGATCCCGATACAAAAAAACGCAGACCCCCAAGGTTTGAGAAATATGTTGAGAGAGGATAAGGCTGATTTACTGAAAGAGGAGCTGGTGTGAAGTCTCGCGAGGTCAAAAAAAAGAAGGAAAGAGGAGGCTACTTACCACTTCAGTAAAAATCTCTAAAAACGTTGAGAAGAGAAGAAGGAAAGAGCGGCTTGCGGTGGCGCCGGCTTACACAAAACGAAGGCGTAGTTGGCATTCCATGTGATCGTGCGTGTCGTCGGGTCAGCCGGGCGTCGGGTGATTCACGCACAGTGCAGGGAGAGAGGAGACATGAAAACTAGAAAGACAAAAATGATTTTATTTTTATTTTTTAATAAAATTTATTTTTTGGATCGTGTTTTTTGGCTGAAGAGAAAGGTTCCGACTTATGGGTTCGGTCGGACTGGACCGTATCGGAAAATGTTTATACATATTACAGACCCGAGACTCGATCCGGTTTACACCGGGTTAGTTTTAATAGGGGATTCAGATAGATTTCCGGCTTTTAAGACCTAATCAAAAAATCTCGTAAACGCAAAATAGAACAAATAAAAGAGTGAGATAATGGTTGAATAACAAGAAAAGGCAAAATAATAACAACTAAGTGATTTAGTTCTTACGATTTTTTTTATGTTTACTTGAGAGTGATATTACCATTTTATTTATTTATTATGAATTATTAATAATTAATTTATAATATTTAAATAAATTATATTAATAATTTAATTTATTAATGTGTCGGTAGTATTATAGTTATTAAATTTTAATAAAATTAATATATTTTTTTATTAATAAATATTTTAAAGTAATCATATTTATTTATTATATAATTTTTTATTTAAATAAATATAAAAATAATTTTTGAAAAAAAATAAGAGATGTCGAAATTCAAAAAATAATATTAAAAAAAAAAAGGAGAGAGAGATGGGGAACCAATGCTGCTGATTTGTACTTCGTCTTTTCCTTTTTGCATTTCCGATTTTGCCCACCCATATCCTTCTTACCATTTTTACCATTTAAGCTTATTATTCTTGCATTATTTTATTATCTCCTCCTTCTCATATCAAAATACTTCAAAATTAAGCTTCTTTCAATTATATTTGAACTCAAAAACTTGTTCTTGCAAAATAAAGTAGTTTCCAATCCACATGTTTTACTTTGTCGTTATTTTAGTTATAGTTTAAGATACCAATTCTAATTTCAACTATTATCTAATGCAACATCAATATGTATTATGATATATTTTTAAATTTTTTATTTTTTTAAATAAAGTAATAATTTTTTAGAAAAAAAAAAATCAACTTTATATCATTGATATAAATAATGTCTAATTCATTTCAGTTGAAAATCATTCACTCCAATAGAAAATACGAATGTATTCATTTTGACAAAACTATGCGGATATAGTTTTAATTTACTATTCATTGTCATATTACTCGTACACAATTTGATTATAAAGAAGTTTAGAATAAACTAATTTTTTTATTTGACACTTAAGTTATAATATTTTGAACTCTCACTCTTTTAATAAATAAAAAACTATAAAACTAACTAATCTTAATTTATTTAGCTGGAACAAAATAATATTTATATAAGATAAAAATTGTCGGACTTACATAAGTCATAGAGCTTTTTATAAAGGCATAACTTGTAAAGGCACAAAATTTAATTGAATAAAAATATTAAATTAATGAAATATCAGCGAAACCAATTGAGAATTTTAGGGTTACATTGTAACGGCCCCGGAAATTTAAAATGGAATGTATATTAAAATTATCAAATGCGGAAGCGAAGTCAAAATTCGATTAATATCTCTTACACTAAAACCAAAAACGTGCTCAAAATATAAAAGATCAAACTAACTAAAAGAGAAATTCGAAAGTAAAGCTATAAATATGACTTTGGAGTCTTTAGGCGTCCCCTATGTCGTCTTCTTGCGGAACGAGCTCGGGAACAATGTCTTCCTGATCTGAAATGATTAAATAAGGAATGAGCTACACTAGCCCAATAAGGACATCACGATATCTCACTGTCACGGAGGTAAAGGTGGGTAGAAAACACGAAAAGACCAATGGAGCATAATTTACAATAAAACTCATTTATCAGTAATAAACCTTTTACCATTCACTTACCTCGGTGAAATTCATAAAACAATATACGAAAAGCAATAACATTATCATCATCATGAAATCATATAAACTGTGT